CAACTGCAGACTTTCTTTATCACCACCAAAGATCTCTTAGTAACCTTTGCTACAACATCCTTAAAGGTCACATTGAATCCCTTCGTTTCCATAGCCCTAACACAAATAAGATTCTTCTTCAGCTGAGGGACGAATCTTACATCATTCAACTCACGAACTACTCCATCATGCATTTGAATTCCGATGGTATCTATCCCACAAATACCACAGGACTGATTATTTCTCATGGCTACAACACCCCTATCGACTCTCTCAAATGATACAAACCAATCTCGCCTAGAGGTCACATGATAGATAGCGTCAGAATCTAACATCCAATTTGATGCATCCAAATGATTCACCTCTGGAGTAATCAAAAGAGAAAAGCTCGAATCATCTGAATCATCGCCTCTCTCAACGTTCACCTCATTGGCCTTCTGTTCCTTCATTTTGCCATTCCCCTTCTCCTTGAGCTTCGAGCAGTCTCTCTTCTAATATCCATGTTCCTTACAGAATGCACACTGGTTCTTAGCTAACTGGTGATAGCCTCTAGACTTTGACCCACCTCTATTGTCACCTCTCGGATATGGGCTTCTACCTCTTGTCGCCAAGGTCTCTCCTGAAGTACTAGAACGAAAGTTTCTTTGTCTTTCTCCCTCAAATCATAGTTAGTCAAAGTATTAGTAACTTCAATATACGTGATGGAATATCACCCGTTCAACTAAGTAAACACGAAGGTATCATACTCCTCATCCGGTAAGGAGCCCAAAAGAATAATAACCTTATACTCATCTGTGATTTTCTCATCCACGTTCGCCAAGTCCAACAATAACTTCGTATAGTTGTTCACATGAACTGCTAGTGAGGTGCCACTGGACATTTGAAATCTAAACAATCTTCATAGCAAATGTAAACGGTTCTCAACACTCTTCGTAAGGTACTTATTGTTGAGAATTTTCCACATCTTCATTGTAGATGTTACCCCAATCACATCATACTTCAGTTTTTATTTCAAACAAGACCTGATCACCCCACAAGCGTTCCTATTTATCTTTTTTCGTACCACCTCTTCATATTTTGGTGGCCTCTCATGGACCATGATGGTCTCCTCCAAATTCTGAGCATTGAGCGCATCCTGTACGTCGCTCATCCACAATCCAAAGTTGATTTTACCGTCATATTTCACCACACTAATCTTAGTGTTCTGAAAACCAACTTGAACTGTACCCGACATAGTCTTGTTGCTTTCTCCAATTACTTCTCCCATACTCACAACCTCCGAATTGTAAAGAAATATCCAAACTTTGATAGAATTAAGAATATACCCAACTAAACACTAAACCGGCTTTCAAATTGATCTCCTAACCACACAAGGAAAGCAAGATCACCACGACACTCCTCAACGCTATCTCCACCGAAGCCTAGAACCCCAAGAACCAAGTTTCCAAATTGAATATTCCTCCACCTAATGCCAAAACCCTAGATCTTAAATCTGGATCTTTGATACCAATGGTTGAGAGCTTTTACGGAAGTGTGCTCGCACACCAACCAAATCTGTGAGGCACGAGAGAAGAGAAATAAACCTAACACGGTCATAATCCAATTAAATATGACAAGTCAATCACAAACACAAATATTTAGGTGGTTCGGCAATTTTCTTACGTCCAGGGGAGCGACACAAATAATTTTCTATTTAACCACAAGAAATTACAAACTTTCAATGAGAAGATCTTAAACTCGAGACCTCTGAAATGAATGCTAATCTACACTGTAGCTACAGTGTAGATCTCTCTTAACTCCCCTCTTTAATTCCTCAACTCCCCCTCTTTAATTCCTTAACTCCCCCTCTTTAATTCCTCAGAGCTGGGACAAATGGGAGCTCAAAATCGCAGAGGAAAAATAAAATCCCACCCCGCTAGAACGTTGCTCTTCTCTATCTGTTCCGCTCAAAAGGGAACTCGTGAATAAGGTTTCCCTTTTAAAGGGAAACCCTAGGGCAAACTCGAGCTGGAGCCAACTGGTCTCCACCAAAGGCGACAAATCAAGCAAGCTCCGCACCTCGCCCGACGCAGGCGAGCCTCCTCGCCCTACACGCGAGCTCCCACGCCCCATCGATCTCTAGGCGAGCTCTAGCGGGTTCATCAACAAGCGAGCGCGATCTCCTTTGGCGAGCTCCACACAGGCGACCCCCTCGCCTGAGCTCCTCGCCTCAGGCGAGCTCCGACTCATCAGGTCCGTTCTTCTTCACAACAAGCTATACCTTCACAATTATGTTGTAAACATTACTTTCTAAGTCTTTACCATTAAGCTAAGCGGCAACCTCTGTCTCTAAACAAGCACAAATCACCATCATTACTCTTATCCTGTGACATTTATTTATGTATTTATTTAGTCCGTTCTGTACTGTTTTCTTTATATTTGCCTGGCCCGCTGAAAGCTATCTGTAAACTGGGCCGGGTGATTAATTTGGGCCTAGTAACTATTAATCATTTGTTGAGGGTCTTGCCAGCTAACGAACGGGCCCACAACCACCAGCCTTAAACGGGAATCTACCATGGACAAGGAATAGCAAAAGAAAGAGAACAGGAAGAGAGTCGTAACTTTTAACTTTTTCTTCGGGCTTCTTGCATTTATATCCACCTAATCTGTATTTTGAAAATTATCATCTACATCTAAATATTTGCCTATTTACCCTCAAATTCTACCACATTAAGCTTTAGTTAAGGATATCTCCAAAGATATTCATTATTTTTTCTATTACCTGCTTAGCGGGAATTTCATTTTGGAAGCATTTTAGCTTAATATTGTTGCGTTGGAGGGCAAATTAGCAAATATCAATATTTATAAGATATATAGAAACCATTTCTTTTTGGTTTATTTGCATGTATACCCTTGTATCATGAGTATTTGCAAAACTACCCCTCAAATCATCAATTTTAGGGAAACTGATTATGAAGGGTAGCTTTGCAAAAACAGAGATTCGGATGATATTTTCACAAATACCTACAATGTAAGGGGGGTATATATGAAAATAACCTTTTTTCCCCCCCAATTACCTTTTCAATGTTCTAAATTTACCCTTAAGCGGTAGTTAAAAGGAAAGAATCAGAGGTAAAAGAAGGGAGGGAGGTGAAAGAGAGAATTTGGGATCAGGGACCATGGCAACGACCTCCATTATAATCATCATTATTAGAGTTTTAAGCTCCGCTTTCTCTTCCCTAATTTCTCAGTAGAGAGAAGAAAAATGCTCTGTCCGCTGTTTTGGCCGCCGTCATGGGGCTCCTCGATCCGGTAATTTACTCACTTTTCTCGAAAAACTGTACCTGTTCTTGTTCGGTTTGATAAAATCTTTCATGGTTTAACTTTAGGGTTTAATTGTAGGAAAAGCATAATTGAGTAAAGGTGAGGTTTTGATTATGGTTAGAAATGATGAAATGTTACCAAAATTAAATTGATTGATTTGTGGGGGGGTTAATAAGATGCTAAGATCAAGATAGTAGTTGCTGTCCCCAAATTTGGAACTCACGCTTCATTTTCTAGTTTGTTCTATATCACTATATGTACTATTTTAGTTCGAGAGAACTGTAGATTGACATGTTTATTTTTTGAAAAATGGCGGATAATTGCACAAGTGGCTGTGCTCTGTATAACATTTTTCAGTAAAATTTTACATCTTTGGCTGTTTTTTTTTTTATGATCCAAATGCGCATGTGTTCGATATGTTGTTTGTTACAATTTAATGAGGGAAGAAAGCTTTAAACCACAGAGGGATTTCTTCGTTCATCTGTCAGGTTCAGTCTATAGATCTAGTGAAAGCCTGAAAAATGTTTAGCTCAACTGTCCTAGGGAAATGAAACCTGTAGTGTTTTTAGTTAAAAATGCCAATATCCAGTCTTTTCACAGAAAGGTTTTCGATTTTCTGTTCAGTTATGATTGAGCCTGACCTGGTTGACCTGATCTTGATTTCTAACTTATGATCTGGTTTGGTCAACCCCACCATGATAATGAAGACTAGGGCCCTATCCCGTGAAATTCCAAATACAACCAAGTTTAAAAGATATATGTGCACGAATGTTTGTATACATGTATATATATGTGCATGCATTATATATTTAGGCATACGTGACGTGTGTACATATGTATTTATGTGTATTTGTATGAAAACGTACATTTGTGTACGTATGTGGTTATGCATGTGCGTGTGCCTGTCTATATGTTACATACGGATATATGTTGTGTTAGTGTGATTGAATGCTGTGGTGGATGACATGGTACCTTGTTTGGGGGGCAGGGGGTGTCGGAGGAGGAAGGTGGGGGCGGCGTTGCACCCCTGTGTTTATGAAATTTACATCCTAAACACTTTCAAACACACAATTTGTTCCCCATCATTTAAAGATATTTGCAGCCCATTTGATCTTTAGCACATCTAGGTTGGGAGTTTAACCAATTTGTCAAGAGTTTTGTTTTATATAATCATATCTAAAGTTTTGAGCGAATAGGCATTTGTCGTCTGCCCCCCAGGAAAGTTCTTAGGATCCGCCGTTGATGAGTGTGTGTCTGTGCGCATGTGTCTATTTATGTTTCTGTTTGTGTACGCATGGATATTACTTGGATGTGTGTTTATGCTTGTGTTTATCTATGTATGGTGTAGGTGTGGATGGTATGTGGGTGGGTGTTTGTGTGTGCATCTGTTAATTATGACAATGACAATGATCAGGGCCTTAGTTTGATACCCTGTCATAGTGCTTATATACTGTCAAAACAAATATGTTCAGAATCCCTGTAAGCAATGGAAAGCTTCTGTACAAATATTCTTAATTTAGCTTTCTGACTTGCAGAAGAAATTTCAGGCATAAATTGGTTTCTAAACTTCTCTGTATATTTGCTCGTTTAGGTTCATTACCTTATTTGAAGAAGTTCACATACAAGGAAATTGAAAGAGCAACAAATGGTTTCAGGCTGATTTTAGGGAGTGATTCTCATGGAACTATATATAAAGCTCGATTTCCAGATGGAGTCATTGCTGCTGTTAAAAGGAGAAATCATTTGCAACAAGGAAAAGATGAATTCTACAGAGAATTACAACTCTTAGGCTGTTTGCACCATCGTCATCTTATTGGACTTCAAGGGTTTTCTGAAGGCCATAACAGGTACTACGTTGCTTCTTGGAGTAAATTTTTTTGAGATTGAAGCTATTCTTTTATGTAGACCTGTGAAAGTATGCTAGAAAAATATTTTAACATCTGTAATATATTTTCTCTGAAGAACATGGTTTCCTTTGTACTTTCAGGTTTCTTGTATTTGACCACATGGAAACTGGAAACCTCAAAGAGTGTCTCCACGGTAAAATTCTATCATATGATCAATTCAGAAGTTTATACTCAAAACAAAATCATATTAAAAGAAATTCTTAGTTTTGCAGACCCGCTTAGAACACCGTTGACTTGGAGGATCAGATTAAAGATTGCTATTGATATAGCAGCTGCTTTGGTACGTCATTTTGTATCAAAAGTAAAATCATAACTTTCATGACTGCTAAAATTTACCTTATGATGAATGTATTTGAAGTTCTTTAGTAATAAGTTGAATTCATTCCTATGTTTCTTTTGTGAGTCTGATCATGTCAAATGCTCCAGGAATACCTCTACTACTTCTGTGATCCCCCTGTATATGATGTATCTATCAACTCGAGCAATGTACTGTTGGATGAAGATTTTGTTGCTAAGGTGGCTTTTAGATGCTTCTAAGAAGCCATAATTGCTTTGCATTCTATTGCACGTATTGTGAAAATCATACCTTCAAAGTATTTCTGGTAACTGTTTCTTGATGTTCAGCTCTCTGATGTGGACTTTAGAGACCCTGGTCACGATGATACAAAAGAATCAAATGCTTCATTATCTCAAGGTTTGTTTTGTTACAACATTTACAAGTTTTCATGTTTGTTTCTTGAAAGTTTTATAATTCCTTATTTCACATACAGATTACATCAATCAGAAGAGGAGGAATGCAGTGTTTCAGTTTGGTATGCTGATTCTCGAGCTTGTTACTGGTCAATCACTGGGTGATGAAGATGAGCTTGTCCACTGGGTTCAAGAGTCGGAATTTGCATATTCAATGCACAAAATGGTTGATGCTGATCTTGGAGACAACTATGATTCAAAGGAGCTTAAAAGTCTTCTTCTGATAGCTAGATTGTGTACAAGAACAGGAGATGAAGCAGCTATTTCTATTCCACAGATACTACGCTATCTACAAGGAAAGGTAGAATCCCATGTTTCTCCAATCTAGTTTTCTTAAATAGGAAGAATACTTGTAAGATTCATTAAAGGATGTGAAATAAAATGATCTAGTTGAAGTTTGAGAAGTCTCTGGGAACTTATGTTAAATTTAATTTTGATTAGTATAGCTTCTCTTTTCATTATTTGTAACTTTATCATGTGTATAAAAAACAATGTAATAAAATTATTTTTCAGTTACAACTTTGACGATATTTTCCTAATCAGGAAAAATGGAAAATATAGAAGATAGAGTCGTTGCTTCCCTCTTACACATCACGGACAACCCAAAGCTAACATGAGCAGTATCGAGACCAATACCTCTCACATAATTGCAAAAACCTTTATCACCCAACTTCTATAATGTTACTGAATGAAAATAGTACCTCATATTCCACAGAAGCTAAGAAAATTTTAAAATGATAATACAGTATGTCATATTATAGAATGAAGAAATTTTAAATTGGGAATATCAAATACAGTACATAACATTGTAGAATTAATGTTGTTGTTAATGGCAGTTTCCCCCCGCTCTAGACAATCTATTGGATACCAATCTGAAGCACAGATTCGCCCCCGGTGGCCACGAATCCGTGTCCGACTCGAACCGGACACGGATTCGTCACGACATGTGCACGACATGTGTCGGACACGGTCAATCCGTGTCCGACACCGGTCAACGGTCAAATTAGGCTCGGACACAGTCAAAGGAGCTCGGACACGGCTCGGATTCGCCGAAGGCCGATTCATTTGGATTGCAGGTTGCGGGTTTGGTTGTTAAAATCCAACCCGAACTGTTCGATTAAAAAACCCATAACTATTTCTCAAATCTCCCGTTCGATTCGATCCTCAACTGACTCAAACGAAAGAAAAAAGAAAAAACCCTATGAAGAAGGCAATGAAGAAGTCATCGGACTAGCTTCCAATTCACCTTGAGGTACTTTTTGTTTACGAACTTGTTATTTTGTGATAGATTCATATTTTAAATTGTTAGTTGAATTTTATAAAACTTTTTATATATAATAATATTTTTTTAAAAAAAATTCCTTGCCGTATCCCCATATCCTATTTTTTGGATTTTGCCGTATCCGTGTCCGTGTCGTATCCGTGTCCCGTATCCGTATCCGTGCATCATAGGATACCATTATCTTACGTACATCCATGATTAAGAGTTTACCCTGTCCAGTGGTAGGGTGTCTTTCTGTACTTCTCTCTATTTCTTTCGCCACCCCCTTATCTTATCATCATCTTAGGATCTTCTAACTTTATGCTGCTCTTCCGTTTCATTAATAGGGTGCTTAACAGAATTCATGTGTTATGTACAAAATGCAAAAAACTGCGAAAAGCTGCAAAAAGCCATCTCTGCAAACCTTATCTCCTTTAACCATCTGCCCTCAAAATTAATTTGAGGAAAATTTGAAGGGTTTCTCTGATTGAATCATAATCCCAATGATTTAAGCTGCTTACAAACTGGCCTCCAAGTTTCTAAGCTTAGTGTCATCCTATGATTTTCTATCCCACACTTGCATTGCCTACTTACTTGGGACTACATTAGGGGTTGATGTTGGAGTGACAATTAGGGTAGAGGTCCATCATTGCTAAGATGAGCTTTTTCAAACCTACCGATTCCTATTGTAGTATTTGACATAAAATGCTTGGATTGTGATGCTGATGAGTGACTGTGCAGGTGCAAAAAAAGAGGTTATGATATTTTGATGCTCAAATTGACAAGTTAAAGGGACAGACTTCAGTTTGGTGAAACGATACATCAGTTATCACTAGGTTGTGTTGTTGATGTGTCACCTGAAGTAGTTTCTTGATACTGATACCTTATCTTTTCTTGTTTGATATGTTGTATTCTTCTTCTCCTTGTTAGTCATCCACCGCAAAGAGCAATCTCATTTGCTAAGTAGTATGCAGACATCCTGGTTGTGTATTTTACAATTAAGTATATAGTCATAATTTGTTGGTTGAATAGGTCTAAATATAGACGGTCACAGAAAATACAAATGGTCATGGGCATGATTTGATTAAATGAGTCAAAATTTTCAAGATCTTGAGGTAGAGACTGTATAGTATTTTTCTTCTGACATAGCTTGTTGTAGCTTACTTTCTCAGAGACTTCAGGGTTTTCCTTCCTGATTCCCTTTTTTTTTTTTTTTTGAATTTGTATAACCATGAACCTATTTGGTAACAGAAGAAATAAAGGAAATGATTGAAAAAAAGGACATAGTCATGCAAAACTTGAATGGAAAGTTTATTCAAGAGGGAAGGGAACAAGATTCATATCCCAGTTGATGGCTATATTGATGTGTAGCAGACATCAGTAGATCCATATAAGCACAATTTAAGGTACATGTCATTAGATTGTAGGGTATGATATATTTAATGTATAGCAGATATGAGTAGATGCATGTAAACACAATTGAGGTACATATCCTCAGACTGTAGGGTATCATATTCAAAGACTTGCTCTCTGTTTCGTTGGTATACTTGGTACAACCACCATTAATGTGCTTATCTTCATGTTGCAAATATAGACGGTATACATGCTAGTTTGCTTTCATACTTTATCCCTAGCAATTGCTAATGAACATGCTGACATATCATGATTTCCAAAATTAAATAAAAAACACAGATTTGCTTAAAGAAATCTGGATATCCTGGAACAAATAAGAAGAGAAGTTGCCAGATTTCCTTGGATTCCTTAAAGCTAGACCATCTCTTGAAACTTAAATTTTATGTATCATGGGAAAATTTCAAGAGATTTCCCTAGTATTTTCAATACTTTGAATTTCACCCCTTTCTTTTGGTAATATCTTCAATTATCACAATTTAAAACAAATGACCAAGTCTTCTGATATTACAGTAAAAGGAGCCTTACCTGAATCATAAACCAAAACCAACAGAAAACTTCAAACCTTTTAAACTCTTTATCTATACCTATCCTCTCTAAACCAACTATGACTGTCTTGTTCCGGCCAACGGCACCACCTCGGCGAGTGGTGTCGGAAGCGGCGATGGCAGTGGTGACGTCCGGCACAACGGGCATGTCGGGTGCATCCGCAGCCACGGGTCAACGCACTTGACATGAAAAACATGCCCACAATCTGGCAGCTGCCGGAGCTCATCGCTGCCCTTATAATCTGCAAGACATATCGAACATCCACCGGCCACAGAGCCAGCGACTGCCGACTTCCCCTTCTGCGCCTCTGAGTACAGCAGCTTCGGATAGCTTGTCAACGTCGCCTCATCGATCCCTGACTCGATGTCGGTTGATGCTAGTCCATCGTCAG